TGCAACTGATTTTGTACTTTTCCTTAGAAATTTCCTTTTTCACCCTTTTAAGCATTAGCTTTGTTATATTTTTGCCTAGCTGCGTTGCCTATCTGTGCGTTACACCTTATAATATGAATACTCTTTTTCGTGTTCTAATTTTTCTATTGAAAGCTGCTTTTCTTGAACAGGTTGCAGTGATACGTCATTGGAATAATTGGCCATCCGCGTGTTATGTGGCGCTCTCCGCATCTCACCATCTTCGTTCATGGGCTATCCTCGTAATATCATATGGCTGTCTCAGCAACTGTTTCTGAATGACTGTCTAAACACACTGCATTGGCCAGAATTTTCGGAATCTCGTGCTAATATTTTGGTGCCTAGCGCTACGCCATTTAGTGCTTCGACTGGGGGGGTGATGGAGCTTGTTAAGACTGCAGCTCTTTGAGACTTTCTTAAGGGTGAAGGTTAACAAAATAAGATGTCATAATATTATATTCGACATGCGAAATTCTGGAGTCTGCTGACATAGGCTGGGGGCCAGCCTTTTAGGTATGGGTTCGATTTCGGATTCCGTACTGAAATCGAAGCTTGAGCAAACAACTCATTTTAAAGAAAATAGGGCCTGGGCAAGTGTTTGAATGCATGGGACGAGTGGGATTTTGATCCGTGGGTAGATGGCGCATTAGATCTGGTAATCCTGTGACCGTCCTTGACGCTGAACTTCACGTTGATTTGCTTTTGCTGTGGATTGTTGGGTGTCTAGCGTGTGCCGTGAATACTCTTTTCTCACGTATTCGGCAGTCCTGCAAGGCTAGCAGGCAATCGAACCTGGAGAAAAAGGCAGAGCTGTGGAGCCAATTGACGCACAAGTACTTTAGCAGACTTGCATTAATCATACCATTAAACTCTCGTTGCTTAACAACGCCTTGCAGTACACATAATTTAGACTACTGAAGTACCCATTCTGCTCAACATCCATCTGTGCAGGCGATACCCCATTGATAACTGCTTTGAGATCAACCATATACATTCACCGTCAATGGACAGTAGCTGATTTGCGCATAATTTTGGAAAATATGAGTTGAAATACTTTAATGGGGGAGAGGTAGTGAAATTTTGTCTATGGCAGGATGTGAAAGGTCCACATTTTCTTGCTTGTTTTACAAAAGAGTCACTTGCATGAGGTTTCCAGAACTGGCTTTACAGTATTTGCTGATTAGGAATTGCTGTTATGTTAGCTTAGTGACTTGACAATCGGTTTAGCTGTAGGTTTGGTCAAGCAGGTTTACATGACCCCTCAAGTTCCACTTCCCTTGGTTGTGTACGTTAGCGCTAAGTTATTCACCATACAGGCATGGCATAACTCAATGTAACAGATTACGCATGGAAAAAGACTGGTATTGCTAGAAGATTCTGAGTAAGTGTAATGCTCATGTTGTTTCAATATGCCTTTCAGAGAGGAGGCGGGGATAGGAATCGAACCTCATGACAGAAGAGTCAACGTCCTGCAAGCCGGAGAGCGGTTACGTGACCAATCCCCCCTGAACTCTGTGCTAGTTTTTCTCATTTACTTGCCCCAATAAATATATCAAAGTTAGACTAACCTAGGTGTTCCAAGAGTATGAGGAACAGGGAAGAGGAGCCCTACGAACCTCAGCCTACAACAGAATAAACGTGGAGGAAGACCAGTATAGCTAGAAGATTTTGATTAGGTGTTTTACCCTGATGACAAAAGTTTATTTGCTATCCTTGTTTCTTGTTACAAGCAATAACATACTTTAACATTTAGCAATACGCCTACGCTTTACAATAGTCGTGGTGTGTAATTGCTTTACTAAAATAGGATACACAAAGGTTAAAAAAATTAGAAATTGATTTTTTTTAAAACATCCTCATTACTTTCAAAACTTGCCATTTTGTACAATCTGTTGCCTGTCTTCCTACGTAACTACGCCTTGTTTTAGCGACTGGTAAAATACCGCCGATTGAGAATGACGGTACTCGCCGTTAAGAGCAAGGTTTGTTTTTGCTTTATTCCTCAATTCTCTAGTATAACGCTGAATTTCGACGGTTTCACTTGGACCGTTCAACAGTTAAGACATTTGATGACCTCTACAGAATCGTAGAAAAGGTGCACGGCTTATACAATACCCATTTTATTCTGCAATACGTTGATCCAAAGGAAAGTACACTGCTTCCTATAAATAATGATAAAAATTGTGAACGAGCTCTAGCAGTTGCATCTGATCCTCTCAGACTTTTAATTCAACTTAAAGGTAAAATATGCCAGGAAATTGTCACTATACCTAGGTGAGAGTTATGGTGAAATTAAAGGCTATAAAGCACCGGGAACAGTTTTTCTGCGAAAGAAGCCAGCAGAGATTGTTAGATCAATCGGATCAGAGAAGATTAAACCTGGACATCAGTCTATAGTACTATGTGATGATTTCCATAAAGTCTCATCCATAATAGATGATGGTACCCTTCCGGAATGTATGCGAAGGTGAGCGTTCACATGTATTTTCTTTGCCAAAAGCTCGTGTAATTTTGTTTTCGTCATACTCCTATACTTCGTCTCTTAATAATCACATTACAACCTTTGTACGCATCCTCATGCTTTATGTGGCTTCAACCGTTCTGGTGATCAACACTTAGATGCCACAAGTTTTTGGTCATTTAGTTTATTTTGGTGCCGAAATAAATTCATGTGATAGGTACTTACATCAAATAATGGTGCTCTTTCAGCTTAATCGCGGGCTAATATTCACTTTTGAGGTTGTCTGCTTGTTACTTTCATCATCAGTCAATTTTTTACGGAAAGTTATCTTCCGTATTTTTTTGTTTTTGTGATGGTAATAATTTCAAGATATACTTAATATCATTGCATCCAACATTCCACTTCTGTCCGTCGTATTCGCCATTATTGAATTGTTCTTTTCTCCCCCGAAGCATACAGTGGGCTTTGTCTTTGAGTGCGAGGATAGAATTTGCTCTCCCGCCTTCATCCGCCAATTTTTACTGTTACGTTTGCTTGGTGTAATAGAGTGCATCTTATCAGGACGGGCTCAAAGCCTTTGGGCTTCTACATCCGTGACGGATTTAGCATCCGCGCCACGCCAACCGGAGTGCAACCGGTGCCGGGAATTTTCATTTCGCGCCTTCTGCCTGGCGGTTTGGCCGAGTCTACTGGTCTCTTGGCTGTAAAAGACGAAGTGATTGAGGTCAATGGAATCGAGGTGTACGACAAGACATTGGACCAGGTGACCGATATGATGGTGGCCAACAGCTCCAATCTCATTATCACTGTGAAGCCTTTCAACCAGAAGACCTGCATCCATCGAACCAAATTTATGGCTCCAGCCTCGGCCGCGGCGGGATCTGCGTCGCACCAGACGTCTGCCGTGAACACGAGCCACCGCTCTTCCGCATCCTCGTCGTCGGCAGCAGCGGGGGCAGTGGAAGGCCACAGACAGGTTCCTCCATCGCGCGACTCTCCAAAGTCGACAGTGCAGCCTCATTCTGTACCTGAGGTGCCCGGTACCATCGACATTTGACTTCACTACTGACTGATTTCCCTTTGCTTCATATTTCGTCTCTTTTTACTTTATTGCTGTGAGATCAACATTTGTGAGCGCACATACGCACACTTCTGAACAACGGGAACTGCAGTGATTGTTGCAACTTGGCACACAAAGTCACACTTTTGTGGTTCCTTTCTTCGCTCTCCACCCCTCTGCATTCCATTTGCGCATGCCTCTGACTGTGTTCTCGTTCGCGTGAGTGTGCGTGTGCGAGTGAGTTCACGGCAGTAAAGTACATTCCGATTTGTTTCAACAAGCTGGGAAGGTGTAGTGTACAAAAGAAATTGGTTGGTATTTCTCCTATTTCAAATGCTCTATTGTCTGATGGGTGGGTACAACTGTTTTGCAATCGTGGTCTTGCATTTGTCTGGGCTGCTTTCGCGCGTTTTTGGCAGGGATGGTAATTAGGTGTGCAATGGCGGCTACGTTTGTACTTGTTGGTGCCGCTGCTCCCGATGCTTTGCACATGTGAGCGCGTGCGTGCCTTTTGTTGCCCGCATGTGTCGGTCACTATCTAGCAGAATTAGTAGTTTCTTTTGGGCTACTGACCACACCCACTAGAATGTAGACTGCGATGAGGTCATCTCTTAACTGCGGGGGCTGGAAGCTCTCACGGGTCATGAATTAGCACCGAGAGGAATTCCTTCCTCAAAAGCATTTCGGGTGGTGTATCTCAACTACGGTTGCAGTCTCCTCGGGGTCAGATAACGTTGAAAGCGCAGTAAAAATACTGGCAGCTGGTCATTTAAATGGGAAGCATTCAGGAATAATATTTTGCTATTAGGAACCAGTAGTACAGAACAGAAAGTAGGGAAGAGGTGTAGGTGTACATTTATGGTTAGCCTGCCGTTCCTGTGCTGGAGCTGGGTTATCATAAAACGTACAAACAACTGCAATTTATTCGAATTGGTGCGACTTGCACCAAGACGATTTTGGCTTAACTCGGATTTCCTTGACTTGTTAGTATTAATAGTCATTTGAGCCTATCTTTTCGCAATCAAAAGTGTTTGGTGGGTTTTTGGTTCTGCATCCCACTCCTTCGGCTCATGGGAGTATGACATCTCCTCCTACTGCCCCTGCGACGTCCTCCAAAAACGAGAAAAAGGAGTCGTCCAATGTTTAGCGATAGCTACTGAAACGTAGCCGATGGCAATTTTAAGTAACTCTTTCCTATCATCGAATCTGTCACTAAAATCGCTTTCCAATTTAGACATAACTCAAAATTCATTAGAAAGATTACCTTGGCCTAATATTATTGCTAATTATTTTCTATCTGGGACATTTGCAAAGAAAGGTAGCCAGCAGGATTTCGGTTCTACTTTCCTCTCCTTCTGCTGATGGGAGCATGACATCCTCTCCAAAGGAGAGTTTGTTTGCTTGACTCTTACATTTAAATAATTGGCGACCAAAGGGATCGGTATTGCAATTCTGCCCAGCGAGATGGCCTACGGCCATGCCAGTAAACTCTCCGTCCTTCTCTACGTAGGCGCTGCATTTTCCACCCGAATATTGTCCCCATTCGTCTTCAGGAAAGACTCGGAGCGCTACATTGGTGGCAGCGGAAAGCGAGTCCGAGCCTAAGGGACAAGTACCCTAGGTTTTAGCACCAAATGATAAAAATTAACGTGAAGGGAGAAGGGAGCATATGCTGGGGATGGGCGAATTCGTGATGAAACATAACAGGAGAGTTGAGAATTACGTCTGTCTTCCACATCTAACCCAGTCCGCCAATCTACAGGAATGCTATTCACTATTGCAATTTCACTGACCGTGGCCTCAAAACATCTGGAAAATTCGGTTACGGTGCTCTCAACATTGCCTGCAGGTAGGTGTTAATTAAGTGAACACACGGAACATGCTCCACACCTCCACAAGGTGGACGCAATCCAGATAGATGTGGCTGGACAGCGCTGAAGTGAGAACAAAGTGATGAGGAGAAATGGACACGAAACCGCATACCTAAAAAATGATGTTAAAACCTGTTCGTCAATAAATAGCTCTGATTTTAGGGCGGTATTCTTGCGACTAGCGATGGACATAGCAGATGGCCAGCATATTACCCCTTTCTCGCAATGCGGTTCTCAAACGAGACGAAAGTCCACATGGAGTGGAATCGCCAAGAGGGTACAGTAATGTAACAGTCAGATGTCTTCTCAGTTCCAGGTAAATTCAAGGACTGATGCGGGTGGTTATTGGGTAGTTTCTTTCTTCCAGCACTGACTACACTGCATTGGTCGAGACGAGAGATTGGCTAAGTGGAGCACCTGGGCGGGAGCACAGAAAGAGAGGGGAGTGTAGTACCTTGATCGTTTGTTAAAATTTCCGTTTTAATAACGGATGGCTTGAGGCTTCGCTTTTATGCTTTCGCTTGGCGCATAACCTCAAGCCATGGCATAGCTCACCCCCAGCCCTTGCGTACATCGACGATGCATATTCTGCCCTGGCATCATGTCTTCCTTCTACTTCAGAAAAGTACTCAGGTCCCTACACACACTGCTCTGTTCTAATTGTATTCAAAATCTTATGCACTGAAACATGCAGCGTGTCCAGCCTTCTTTGAGGTAGTAATACACGAATGTGGAATGAATAATGGTGTATTGCCAGTGTGCCAAAGAAGGGTACCTGGGGGGAGGTTATTAGCTTGCCCCGAAGGCCATGTTGGATAGTAGTCGTATGACCCAGGGAGACCAAAGTCTCCGCTTAGTTAGGCAAACAATTCAGAAATAACTCCCCACCATGTACATGTTTAGCAGTTAGAAATTCCTCTGACCAGTCAAAGAAAGACAATATTGGGCAGGACCATGCAAGTGACCGATTTGAAGGTCCTGTGCATTTCTCAAGCCACGGGGAAGAATTTGTACCTGATTGCAAAGTAATCTTCAGTCGAGTGTTTCCTTCACACCTAGATGCTGAGCAGAAGAAGTGTTTGAGCTGTTAAAACTACGTCCACTTCAGGGAGTTGTCAACTACTGAAAAATGGCAAGACAATTATATTAAAGCACTCTTGTCTCATTTGACTCTGCAACTCCACCGTTTTGGCACCATCTCATTCATGCGAGTCCTATGTGAGCATCTGTCCTGATGGATTGGTCATTTGGATGCTACTGGGGACCAGACCTTATCTATTCCCGAAGAGGCAGTCATTTGCAAAGCCTTACCGAAAATGCGTCACTGAGATGGTTGAATGACACTTCTGTCTATGAACCAGTTAATGTACTCAGCCCTATGACAAATCGACAGTTCCGCTAGTTACTCGCTGCTAGCCACTAATAAAGCATGTTCCAGACTCCTGTCCTCTATGGCATCTTCAACCTTGGCCGGAGCATTGCGCCCCTGAGATGACAGGAGTGCCAAATCACAATCAAATGGCTAAATATACGACTGAGTATTCACAGTAAACCAAGTTTCCATCCTCCAAAAATATCACAAGCTAAAGGCAGTTTATACAAATATATACTGTAGCCAAAAAAGTACTACAAAATTAATACGTTAGGGGTTAAAAACACAATCATTAAAAGAGGGGAAAGGGGTGGTTTCAA